TAAGATGGGTGGACTGGGGAATTCTGGGAGTTGAAGTCCACCCATCTTAAAGTTGCTGAGGTTGAGGAACCCTGATTTACAGGCTCACGCTTGAAGAGGGATGGAGATACGGTGCCGCTGGGTTACTGGTAGAAAGCTCTGCTACAAGCTGGACACAGCTCTTGGCCTGGGACTCTTGTGGCCAGTGAAGGCAGATGCAACCTTGCATGGATGAGGGGGCATTTCTCCCTTCCATCATTGCCTAGGGGATGTGCTTCGGATGGCCTTCTTGTCTTTGGCCTAAAGTGCGTTCATTTCACATCACCGGCTTACACCCGCTTGCTCAGCTGCAGCTGCTGTGGCTTGAACAGAGCACAGCTCTCAAGTCGCTTTTGGAGAAATGACATTCTTCTCATTTAAAGCACACCATGTTCCTGCTACAATCTTGATTCATTTGGCTTTCATTGGAAGCCTCCATGGGCTTACCTGATCAAAGAAGCTTTCGCGGCGATTGAGCTTGGCTGAGAAATCCTCCGCCTTCCTTTGATCATTTCTGTTTTACATTCAGTTCTGGAGAAAAGCATTTATTGTCCTCGGTCTCATGCTGGCCAAGCCCCCTGAGATTTGCAACAGATGAGTCCCCCAACTCCACTGACCTGATATTTTCTTCAGAGGGAGTGAAACTCAAGTGGTTGCAAGGCTGTGGAAGAGAAAGAGATTGCTAGCTTCCGATTTAGCATCTGTGCTGCCCAAGCAAGCATGGGATCCTAGGCTGCAACAGCCCTACTGGTTTCCGCTTCACATTTCTCAAGCAGCTGGCTCTTGGACTGAACACAGAGACTGTTGACAATCATAAGAAAACAGGAGCTAAATCTGTGATGATGGCTGGGTTCACATGTCATGGTTTGTTTGGACTAGATGTTGGTCCCCACCAACCCTTATGTTCAATGGTCCCATGATCAGGAGATATTTCCTAAGGATAAGGGAGAGACTTCCTTGTGAATTGGTGGACTCTCCTTCCCTGGAGGTGGTTAAACAGAGGCTGGATGGCTCTTCGTTGGGGGGATGCTGCAGTGGAAGGGGCAGGGGGTTGGATTAGATGACCTCCAGGGTCCTTCCAACCCTTCCATTCTCTGCTTACAACTTTTGGCCTAATGTGCTGTGTGAACCCATCAATACACCAGTGTGCAAACTCCATCATAGTCTTAAATTGCTTTTTGTTTTAGAAGTTATCTGTTCAAGTGCATAGACTGTGCTCTGGTGGTTACTGAAAGCATCTATGGAGAACATCATGTTGCAGTTCCATTGAGGAATCCGGTCGGTGAAGCCATTGGGGTGCTGGACCTCAACCTTGGAGACAGGCAACGGCTGCCGCCTTGTGCACACAAGGACCTGCAGAAGATGCTGAAGATGATGCAAGGTGCCACTCATGAGATACTGAAAGAGGATTCTGGAGATCTGGGACCATACTTCGTCTTGGGTATGGGGCATGTTATGTGGAGAATAATCACCATACAAAAATATGCACACATTCACATTGCTGTTCAGCACACTTTTAACATCACCACAAACATACCTTTGTCCATAATATATTAAGCAAGACGGGGACATTACCCATCCTTGCCTTACTCCTGCTCATGTTGAAACAATCTCTAATCATTTATTCTCTATATATTTCTTACCAGCAAAAATAAAAATAAGACGATTCAAAGTTTATGCCTGACATGAGTAGTTCTCCAGATGCTCTATTTAATTCCTTTGTTCTTGGGGTACATAGATAGAGCCATTTCTCTCTGTTGTTCAGTATTTGCTCCACAGTTTTCCATTTCTGGAATAATTGTATTTGTGGAGCATTGCATTTTCTCTGACTTCCCTTAAAAGGCAGAAGTTTGTCTGGGGAAGCTTTGCTTTCTGTTTCTATGTGTGCCTGTACCACCATAAAGCCTTCACTTGAAGACTCAGAAAAGCCTTCTTTAAAATCCTGGTTTATCATTGCAGAGGCTGAATATGTTGGGGACTGGAGACGCGGAGGGGTCCTCTTCTACCGCTTCATGCTGCAGGACCTGCAAAACTGCATCTGGAATCTTGACCCCTGGACATCCTTTGGCGATATCAGATCCTTGGAACAACCTCCAGCCCTCATACACACCATCTTGAAATGCGTGTTGCTCGTTTTGTACCCGCAGTGGGCTGGCACAGAGGAGGTGGAGAACTGGAACTTGTGCCTACAGGTGAGGAACACACAGCCAATGAACAAGGAAGAAAACAGGGGTGTCTGGGGGACCCTGCAGGATCCCTGAGCATTGGCAGAGAGTCAAAGAAGATATTCAAAGCTGAGAAGAAATCTTGGGGGAAAGGGAGGACAGAGAAAATAGATCAAACTTTCTACCTACGTTGCTTCTCAGAAAAAAGATGATTTTAGAAATGGAAAGTGTGACCTGCCCTGCCCCATTTCTTTGTTTTGTGTTTTTCATCTGACTCAAGTAGTTGGTATCAGCTGAGTCTGTCAGAACGGTCTGTACCGTCCCCCTTCCCATGAGTTCTCAGAGCAGAGAGATACAGAGCTTACGTTACTGTACATGAATTCTTGAGTGCCAGGACCTGCAGGGCTTCTAAAACGAATCCCCTGTATATAACCATACAAAGGGAGAAAGTTGGTGAGTTCAGCAACATGCACGAAAAACAGACGCAGCTTCAATGGCACTGCCGTGGTCATCATTTTGACTTTTCTGACCACATCCTGTGGACACCCCTGACTGAACCATCTTCATCAGATGTGTCTCTGGTCAGTTGGATGCCTTTGTTAGTCTAGGGTGCCAAGATTTTGCTGCACCAGATGAGCTCCGCTGTCTTTCTGGAAACCAGGTTCTGTGTCAGAGTGACACCAACATGCCCCCTGAGAGCAGAACTGGGATCTGCTGTCCTTTCTTTCCTCACCTTGCCTCCCAATTTGCAGAGAAGTATCTGCTTTGCAGCCTCTGTCTTTTATCCTGACCTCTTCTGTTTTTGCTTTTGGTACCACAGAAACTTGATGGAGAACTTATTGAAAACATTTGCTACTTTGATCCCACGGCTTCGTACGTGGAGATTCGACCAGAAGTTCTGTCCCAGTGTCTCCAAGGTAACAGTAAGAAACCCAACGTGGGGGCCAATTCAGTGCACACATTTATACACAGGGGTGCCCCAAAGTCTGCAAAGCTCACTACAGCGGCTGTCCCGGTTTGCAATTAATGAGGAACTGACTGGGTGGGATGCAAGCGTCCTTGTGGAACCATCTGGGCATCTGTCGATTCTTCTTAGGAGCCACCTTTGCCCCACAACATCCTCATCAGCCTTTGCAATGGAGGAACTGGGAAATATAGCTAATCTGGGACACGTGCGTGTGTGTGTTTTAAAAAACAACTAGGTGCACGCAGGAGAGCCGTGTGGAGGCTCAGCTCGGCTCCGTTAGAGTACCTTTACGACTGGGTGTGTGTCTGCCTGTCGTTGATCGAAATGGCCAAGAAACTTCAGCACCACAAGAGCACGACCGGTTCGTCTTCGGCATTGCTCACGCCCACCTTCTCCCAGTCGCTCCGGTCATCGCAGATTTCAACCATCCGGACCACCTCTTCGGCCTAACTGTGCGACCTCAGTTGCAGGCCCTTGTTAATAGTATTTGTTAAGCATGCATCATTTCCAAGGTGGGAATGATAGTTCTTGCCTATAGTTCAGAAACGTTCAGGTTGGCTTTGAACAGGGGGAGAGAGAATTGCAGTGACACGGGAAGGAGATGAAAAACCAGCTGTCTGTTGGGTTCGTGCAATCCACAAATGTCGGAATTAAAATGGGCACTTCACAAAAGCTTTTCTCTCTGCAGCAGCTTTTGAGAATCCGCTTTGAGGGTGAGAGGGTGGAGAGGGAGAAGGGGGGGCCTTTCGGTTCGTCCCGGAGGAAATCACACCTCGAAGGCATTAAAAAGTTTTCCTATTGGCTAGTGCCTAAGATGGCAGCACCATTCAGCGTCCTGGTGCACGATGCTATCTTTTGCAGAATCTTTTTTAATAAAATTCAGGGAAATTAAAACTGTTTTTCCCATTCTGACAAAAGACAATGTCTTATCTAGCAAACATTTTGTAATTTGAGATGACAGGCTGCTTTTAAGGTCCCCTGATAAATGCATTACAGTGTTATTACGACTTGTGGTCCTTTGATTATCTGACGCTTCAATGACAGCGAGTTAATATTTGGAAGAGGGCAGGGGAGGGGAGAGAGGCTGGAATGATAGTCCCAGGAGCAAGGCTTGCAATCTACTGATACAGAAAAGCCTCTGACGGTTTGGAATTTGCTGTCAAGCAACTCAAAACAAACAGCGTACTTTAATGAAATGAAAAGAGTGCTAACGTACGCTCACGGAGTGCATCTTCAAAGTTATTTACAAGATTAGACGGTGAAGAACTTCAGATGGTACCACAGGTGTTATGCCTGCACCCCTAAGCATCCAGCAGAAGCCACGATGACCCCAGGAGGTGTGACCTCCGCTGCCTCCGCTGTGGCCGCCCATGCCTGCATCGTGGACAGAGTGTGGGTCAGGATGCAGGCTGATGCCGGCTTCTTCAGCAGGGTGCGCCCTGGCCGAGAAGCGTTATAGCTATCCAGAGGCATACATCTTGCCAATCAGTTAAAGATTTAAGGAGAGACAGAGGGGAGCTTGTGACCCAAGTGAGCAGACAGGAGGGCAAACAGGGGCAGGGGAGTTTTGCAACTCATTAGCTGGAGTTACGGATGTGTTTTCTGGATGAGAAGGAGCCCGTAGGAGAAGGGCTTACAGCCTCAGCTGACACACCAAGCAGCTACAATTGCCTCGCGCGGCCAGCCGCGCCACATCACGCCACACCAACAGCGCTCTTTGGGAAGAGGGTTGGGTTTAGGTTCTCGTGATCAGAGCAAGCAGATGGGGGGACAAGCAGGAACAGTAGGCTGGCAGGGGAGGAGAACCCGCACCCCCTTCCTCCCTAGGCTAAGCATCAAGGCAAGGAAGTCAGGGCTCCAAACTCAAACTCCACAATGCACGACCCAAGGGCTACCCAGGAGGTGAGCCGGTACCTAAAGAAGAAGGAACCAGAGCCACCCACAGCAGGAAAGAGGATCTTTTTAGTGGGCGTCAGACACATAACTGCTAGCCGCAGAAGCCATGGAGCTGTGCTCGGAGCAGAGGACTCTTGTCCATTCTCTTGGAAGCAAGGTGGCTGAGCTGCAGAGGCTTAGGGAGGGAGAGGGCCGCATGGACGGGACCTTCTGGGGTCTGACCGCAGTGTCCCCCTCGCGCAGTGACAGTTCTCTTCCTGTCCAGGAGAGCAAGGGCCTTGGGGAACGAAAACGTTTTAGTAAGGGAGCTGTTCCCACGGGCGGGACCAATCCTGAGATGTCCCCACGTCTTTTCACACCAAGACGCTCCTTTGGGCCATGCCATTGTGAGAACACGGGTGGGTTTGGGGCAGGCAGGGAAAACACATGCCACACGGGGACTTGCCGGCCTGGCGTGAGGGCTGCAGGCATCACATGCCGTGCGGAGGAGTGGCTGGACAGTAATGGGGAGATGGTGGTGGTGGTGGCCCACGTTGATGCCGGTGCGTTGGCCAACCCTGGGGATCAAAGTCAGGCGAGTTGGCAGCAGAGTGAAGTTCAGGACTGCCAAGGCAACTTTCTGCTCCTCTTTCGATGAACCAGCATAAAATCGTGTTTCTGTTTTCACCTCTAATAAAGAACCCAAGTTCATACATTCTTCCACTAAAACTCAAACATTTTCTTCCACAAAGAACCATCACAGCATTCTTGGGCCTACTCATAAGTAAATGGGCTATCCTTTGGACATCTTTATAAAGATGAAACTTACCGATATTTATAGATGGAGGGATGGGAGGCTCTTTACATTTTTTTAGGTAAATGATTCTGGCTGGAAGAAATTCTGGACCCAGTTCAAACACACAATTTTATGATACAAAGGTGACATCTCAAGAGGGTGTCATTTTTTTTTGCTGACTCCCTTTCTAAAGCAAGATTTTGTGTGTGTGTGTGTGTGTGAAAGAAGTAGCAAAGCACAGCCAAATTTGGTAGATGGGCTTTTATTATGCCTTATTATTATTTATCAAATTAGCTATGGCTGCCCACTCTGGTAGCCTCTGAGCAGCTTACGATACACAATTAAAACAGTTAAAAATGTTTTAAAAATCGTTGAGAGTCGGGTAGCATACAAGTTTAATAAATTATTATGTATTAATAATAAATTATTAAATTCAAATTATGATTTAATTTAATTTAATACTAAATTCAGGTGATTAAAAACAATTATTATTAAAACATAATTAGAGAAGGCAATTCAACAGACAAGCTTTCTCCCAATAAACCACAGCATATTAAAGCATTATAATTATTTTTCAGTGCTGCCTTTTCTGTAGAAAATGTTCTGGCAATAGATAAAGGTGACCAACAACTTGTGCTGTATATTTATATTATATGTAGAGTCCTCTTTTTTTTATTATTTTTTTTATCCCACCTTTATTATTTTTATAAATAATTTTTTAAACTTCTTTTTGCTATACAAACCCTTCCAAATGTGCATCTGTTCATGTGCAGAATGCCATTTTCTCTTTAAAAGAGCCTCCTCTCTCAGAGATAAAAAAGAGCTGTTCAACAACGCCTCCTTGTTTCGGCAGCCATGAGAGTCCGTTGGCTTTTCTTTCCCTTCTGGCGGTTTCCCATTTTATCTCCTTTTCTAGTATTTTTTTTCTCTTGCTTTAGAAGCCTTGGGGGACCGCAGCCACTTGAGTCTTTTGAAAAAAAGCACACACACACACACACACAC